AAGCCTCTTAGCTATCTACTACACCCACGTAAGGTGAATTGCCACATAACTGCAGGCTCATTTTAAAAGTGTTGGACTCGAAATAGCTGCATGAGAGAATAGGGTGTGTCGACATTTCCTCGAAATATATAGTTGTTGCAAAATACATTAAGTAAACGTGATGACAGTACAACTGCACACGATAGAGGCAAAAAAGACAACTTATTGATGGCCTATTCGCTTATAATGGTTGTCAAACAAACAAGTGTCAATGTGAGGACAGCCTTTTGCATATATTTACAGCCAACAAAAAATAAATCAAACGTGTCAAAGTAGTGAGGCTTATCCGCTTTAAAGCCCCACATCACATGGCCAGATGAAACGTGGAAGTGAGGATGAAACCTCGCGAGGAACTACGCCGTATGCAAGCAGGTCTCCAAGGGACGGTTACATGGCTGGCCGTATTACTTAACTAGAACTGATGACGATTCTATGTAGCCTGTGAACTATTGGGATGAAAGCCTTATCAGGATTCTTACAATTATTCTTACTAACAGCTCTTTCTTGCACTACGTTTGATTAATATCAAACTCCTATCACTTCAGATGAAACATTGTTACATTTAGACAACTTCCTTCACGGTGACTAGGTTGTACTACGTGATCAGACCAGGTAATCTGTCTGTGCCTCGCAACGTCGAGAAACACATCTTATTTATTTATTTATCTGTTGTAAAGAACATCCCCTACTTTGAGCACCAGGTTCCGATGGCACGGAGGTCGAGCTGGATTACATTGGTAGTTTCGTTTGTAGTAGCGGGATGAAAAGTGTAGATAATCTTAATTTCGTCGGCAAACACATATGGTGTTCCGAATTTCACAGCGTCAAATATATCGTTAACATACATCAAAAACAGTGTAGGACCAAGCACACTACCCTGTGCTACACCACTTGTGACTTCTGTTGGTTCAGATTTGAGTTCTCGAATCTTTAACACCTGCGTTCGATTTGTAAGATACGATTTGAACCACGAAAGCAGGGGTTCATCGATTCCATACAACATCAAGTTGGATATTAGTTTTCCATGTGGTACTCGATTAAAAGCTTTGTGAATATCGAGGTAAATAACGAGTGTAGAATTGACGTTATCCTGTGAGGCAGTTAGATGATGTAGAAATTCAAGTTGGCACTTTATGCACGATGGTGCGTTCAGAAAGCCATGTTGATCCGTTGATTAACTTACGAGACAGCAGGAAGTCGACGGTTGCAGTTTTAGAAGTCGCCACAACAATTTGGAAATGATAGGTGTATGATTTATTGGACGATAATTCTTTGTCTCGAACAGGGAGCCTGATTTATGTCGCGGTATGACAATGACTTCTTCCCACTGTGTTGTTACAGTGTCAAAGTTCGTGGATCTGGTGAATATATACAATAGAAGCAAGGGTGTGTTGACAACCCGAGTTTGGTCAATGCAAGAGGTCTTTTATCTGGTCCACCGAAGTAGGATTGTTTTGTACGTTTTACTAGCTCGTATGTTAACACATTTCAAACTTGACACGTGTGAGTTTATCAATCGTTGATGGTGGTATATCCAATCTTGGGCGATTAATATCCATCTTAAAGGAGGCGCAGAAGCACTGACTAAGGATTTCACTGGTGTGGGTCGGGTCAGTTGTTATGTAGTTATTTGCCGTAACCAGTGAGATCGCGTCTTGACTCTGTTTGGTATTCTTACACTTCAAAATGCTGACTAGATCGAGAATTTTATACTGGCTCCAGACGGCGATTTTATCATCAGTGATCTCTTTGTTATGACATGCCAGTTGTAGAGCCGTGGTAACCTTTTGCCGTTGTGTCAAGAAGAAGAAGTTATTTGTTATACGATATGCCATTAACAACTTTTTGAGCTTTATGGTAGTGTTACGTGACATATGTGTATTGTTACTGTGTTGAAAGTGTCGATACACAATGGGAGCGAGTGTGCCAATACCTATATAAATGTTATTGTGGAAAACATCTGCAGCGGCTTATGAGTCTTCTGTAAGGAAATCTGTCCCATTAAGCAGATCTCATTTATTTGGTCAACATACCCCATTCTACTGCTGTGTACTTCTTGGAATGTGTTTAAATTTGGAGACGGCTGATGTTTGGTATCGTGTGAGATCAATGAATGAAAATGACACTACTCTGTGATCACTACCAGCAAAGTGCTCATGAACCTCGGTGGGTGCTGATAATCTGTCAGTGGTGAATACTAGGTCTATGATTCTTTCTGGCTGGAGAACTGACATCTTGGATCCATCCGCTTGAGCGTAGAGAAGAGACCAGATTTGTCTGTTTGGTATGTACATAGCTTGAGGCCCACACTACATCCGGCATGTTGAAATCTCCACCGATTACCTTAGACTTGGTTGGTTGGTCAGCGGTATGACAGAACATGTCTTGATGTGCGCTAACTCCTGCGACACTGGAAGTGGGATTCATGTGCATACATCCGAGGAATAACATCTGATCATCAACGTATGCATTTACAAACACGGAGTCTTCGAAGTAATTATGTGAGGGAATGTTGTCCGTTGATGCATACAAGGCATTGTGAACGTATATGGCGCAACCGCCTGCTTTTTTGGACTGACGACAACCAAAAAACTTATAATTCCTTATGTGGTAGTTGAACTCAGTATCTTCTGCTAGCCAGGTTTCTGTCGCAGGTATGATTTGTGCATCAGTTAGTGAGATAAGTGAGGGTAGAAAAGCGTGCATTAAGCAACAGAATGTGCCTGGAAACTGATTGATGTGGCACGTTCATTATTTATTGAAACAGTACAGGCCTTTCCACTGATGACGAAGTTGTATCGGTTTTGTTTAACGGGAATCCCTCGATATCTGCTTCGGGATTAAGGAAGGTATTTGAGCACGTATCTGTGGGGGTGGAGGGTGGAAACGGGTGAAGATGGCACTATCGTTTCCACTGCTGGTAAGTTCGGGCACAATTTATCCCTTGTGTACTCGAATTGAATTCAGTAAGGGATATGGTGAGGAACAGGGTGCAACTTGTGACTGACCTGGTATCGGGCCATCGTTGCTATCTGGATAAATTGAATAACGAGTGGGACCATGGAGTTGGCTTCTGTCGGATGTCACAGCGCTGGGAATGGCTGTGCGACCATTCCCGTTCCCGCTAAAAATTGCTGTCTGAAGTTGTTGTCTCGTGATTGTCTTTTTGGGTAGGGGGTGAAGTGCAGGACAGTGTTGACCAATTATTCCTGACACTATAACTTTTTTGATTATTTCGGATGTTCGATGGAAGACAGTACACATTAGTAACCAAGACATAATTTTTTCTATACGCGCTCACTTTGGGGATATGCATACCACTTCGGCGGCGATAACATTTTTCCGAAGACTCACAGAATAAGTCTGATGGTCTTGAATTTGGAGATTCTTTGCCTGCCTCGATTGTCTACTGATTGATTCATCGGTCGGTGACAACCCTGCCTTCGCAGCAATTTGTTGCTCACCTGAAGATGTATCTGGTTTTGAACTGACGATCATTTTGCCGCTGATCGGACCCTTTTCGAATGCTGGTTTCTCACTCTGGGATGTTAGAGAACATCTTATGTACGAGACATTCGGTCCACTGGTCGAACTATTCAGGTGGTGATTTTATTTATCGGTTTTGAGATGGGATCAGGAGCATGGGCACTCGAAGTCGCCACATCAGTATGTGTGTTATCTAGGTCCACGTCCACGCAGCTGGTATCTCCAGCGGTTTAGTCTGCTTCCCGTGTCTTATTCACGAATCCGGATCACACGTTGTCTCTGCTTTTAGCGTTCGTGATGCACATGCAAGAAAAGACCTTTGCAGGAGCGTTAGATCATGCTTAATCACCAAATCTTTGAATTGAGTATGTTGGGTTATGACGAATCAACACAGCATGCATCTGTCTGCAGATTCTTCAATAGAAAATCTGAAAAGTATCGGGCAACATTGTTTCGGTGTTTGTTTCCTTAAAAGTATATATTTGCACTCGATTTTGGACATATTGTAAACATCCAGCAATGTTGCTTTTACTTTGGCTAAATTAACCGCATCAGAAATGTTACTATAGCGTTTTTAAGCTTACACGTTGGTTGACGGGATTCGAGAGCAATGCAGGCAATAAGTCGTTCGACATTTTTCATTGGACTGAATCAGGTTTCTCCGATAGGTTGTTGATGTGTTCTATGGCAACTAGGTAGTCCTTCAAGAATTCTAGGTAAATCAGTGTTTGTTTCATTTCAGAAAGTTGCAGCTCAAGAGAACTAATTTTATCATTAAGTTTTTGAATGAGGCTGAAGCTTGTGGAGACATTGTTTCCATTGGTCATGTACTGTAGCTTCCTTTTTTGCTTCATTTTTCTCTTGTTTTGTTCGCGGAATGGACGGTACACAACCTTTTGTTTGTCGAGTACGGTTAGGTCTCGTTGGAGTCATCGTATTGCAGTACCGTCAAAGATAATACTTATAAAGTTGTTAGGTATAGTGTACACTACACCGGAGGTGGCTATAGCATGAAGCTGCTTGTATGTAGGAAACCTATTGATTCTGAGATCCAGTATGAAGCAGTGTATATAGAGTATATAGAGACAGAACCGAAACAGGGATTTTTACACGAATCAGAGGAATTAGGGTGCAGGTAAATAGTGCTCAACGTTTTTTAACCTCTCTGTTCTTACGGATAAGTGCATTAAAATGTATATACACTAGTAAACATAGTCGGAAGACTGAACAGCCATCCAGTGCTTTTCTGAAATGCGACAGCAGCTTGACTGATTGTAATGATGAATCCAAATTGCACCATACGTCCGTCCAGATAAGTTTCCAGTGCATCAGTTTACCGCATGAGCAATGTACTTTTCGTGTGACACGTTATCAGTGTTCACGCGATGTACTTTGATTGGTGGTCATGACAGTTGCTCAGCTGACAACCGCAACTTGACGAACTCTGCATCAGTATATCCAGTTTCTCTGAGGAAATGGCGTGTAAACACGATGGAAGCAAAACCAAGCGCTCACGGATATGGGACTTGTACGAGAACAAACTGTACCGAACACCTCCGACTCCGACTCCTGAGCAGTTGGCTAAACGCGAAAAAGGCTTTGTTTTAGACGGCGTTGCGGTCAGCAATATATCGCATGATTATGGCCGGTGCAACCCGAAAGTCGGTTCAGCCATTCCAGAATACGACGCGCAGAAAGATCCATGCGCCGTGCGCTATTTTGAGACCAGTTGCGTGAGACGCGGTTTACCGAAGACCGGACAGGTAAGGAGGAAGTTATATTTGTATAACTTGGAGACAGTTGTAGTTAAGATGTGTTATTGTCCAGCATGTAGCTGACACGAGGTATGCTGGTGCATTCTTCGAGCACACTATAAGCACTGCATTCGCCTAGGTTTGCATTGTGCAGTAGCTGGCTTGACACATGCTACACTCCATCAATACATTTGGGTTGTGCATGAATGATTTACCGCAGTTTAATTAGGCGTGGCAAGTCGGGTTTATTTACATGCACTGTTCTATGTGACATAAAAACCATCCGTAGGATTTCGTCACTTATGGTAAAGATGCACGAGGCCTAGTGATGGGGGCGAAGTCTCCATGACATCACGGACCTCGACAGATGATTTACTGATGGAATAACTGTGACCGAGTAGGCTTCCTGTTATGAGCCCTGTATACAGGATTCCTGTGAGTGATTTTATACAGACTAGTGACTGGTAGACACTGCTTCGAAACGAATAAACGGGTCCTCACATTTTGAAAAATGCTTGGAACCTACCAGTAACTCATGAATTTACTAGGGTTTGTAAACGACCGGTTGGCATACTATGCGGAGGCCTTTTGACACAACAGCTTTGTTAGGCCGCGTGAACCAGTCAAGCATTGGTAAAGTACTTTAGCGAACTCAGATCATCTCGAGGAAGATGATTAAGTAGATATTTAGTCGTGTTACAGGTCAGTGTCACTCTAAGTGGTGTGTTGAACGGTCCCAAGTGGTCCTTGTTGCAAGGTCAAACACGTAAGCCATTTCAGTGATGGGAGTGGGGATGATGTAATGTTGACTCGCCGCCCGAATAGATCCGTTGACGCTCCTCAGACTTGTAGGGTTAAGACAACCCGCCACACGTACGAAAGCTGCACCCTGTCCATTCTGTTCACGTAGCGGTTCACTTTGAAAACCTCAGCGCCTCAGCAGTCAGACTTTGGGGCTTTGATCGCAACCCACTCCTTACGATCTGGTAGTTATCTAAGTCGATCTCATGACCTGCATCTACCGCGTACATCGCTACTGCCGAATCCTTTAGTAGAACCCTGTATTCAAGTTCGTTCCTCGGAGGCTGTACTAAACGCCTCTTGTGTTCAAGTAACCTTGTGTGCAGCTGTCTTTCGGTTTGGCCTATGTGCACTTGTGTGCAGTCTTTCCAACTAATTTGCTAGACGCAACTAGTTGTACTAACTGCGGGAACTGGTTCCTTCATGTACACCAGTGTCGAGCGGTGAGCTTGGCTCTGATGGAAAATTACCCGCCTTTTCTCAGTTTAGGACCCTCTGGATGGCTTGCGAAGTTCCCACTTCATAAAGAATTCCTATCGTCACAATCGCCTCCGTGAATGAATTAATATTCGTTGCTACTGGTTTTTCACTGGTCGCTCCACGTAGCCACTACCAAGCAGTTGGCGCATTGCTTCCTTCCGAGCGGCCTTCCTATCTTCTTCCGCTGTACATTGGGTCTGGGCTCTGTGAGACACCTAAGGCGACCCCATGCTGTAGTTGATCTGAACTATAATACACTACCCCATCCGTGTCTGTCGACTTAAGAAGTACCGCCGATTTTTAGACTACGCCAATTCGTGTGAACCAAGCACTCAAGGACTGTCAATGTGCCACTGCAAGATGCCAATACCATGGTAAAATGTATAGTGTCAGCAAGAGTGTTCGTGATTTAGAAATATTTCTCATTCCATTTTATGATCATAAATGTCTCATTTAGGTAGCGCGGCCAAAGTTTCGGTGAGCTACTAGAGTCAATCATCGCTCTCCTTTCAAAACTTTTATATACGAATTTGCCAATACGTGAGACAATGGTAATCTCATTACAAGACCTTATTCCATACTGCATAATCTGGATCGGAAGGTTACATTTGATATCTTGAAGCAAAATGTCATTCCCGCAATTATTTGATCTACCGTAAACTTTGTGCTCTCTCCACTTACTGTTCCCAGTCAAACAGTGCGTCGCTATCTTCAACGCATCGCATTTTGACATATTTGTAAAGAGAGAGAGCTAACGTCAAAACCGATCATCATTTCATCCGACTCAGTCTTAAGAACTGACGCCTTTTGCGCGCAATCTTAAGAGTTCCCTATGAATGTATTCGTTGTCCCAGTTAACGGTCTCAATAGGCCAACCAAATATCTAACTAGATCATGCGTCAGGAGACCTATGCCACCAACAATAGTTCCAGGGAATATATGAAGTTTATCTAACCTCAGTCGGCCATACACCCTCAGTGGCATCACGTGTCCCACGGTGGTTCGTGTCATAGTATGACGATCTTCAGACATCCATGGTCCTGACCTTACTGCACTTCTTTCTTATATCCTTGAATTTACATTTCCTATTATATTTGTAGGAGAAAAGTGCATGTCATCGATAAGTACACAATATTCGTTCATTCTTCTTTCGGTCGGTTACAGCCACGGTGGCCACCAAAACAAAAAATACGCGGCAAAACAAGCACATGAACATATACATTGCACATACCTTCTCCAGGTCCGATCGTACCTGCGTCCGCGAGCATCCACTGGACGCTTGCTCCGGCATTCGGGATTAAGGGTGATTTGCTCCGCGTCACCCAAATCTCCACCCCCACGTTTTATATCCAGTGTAAACCTGGAGCTCAGTAGTTCAATGGTGTATGACGGGATAATAAGTATTAGTTTACAAGATCCACAGGATGGATAAGCAAAAGAAAATTAATATCAAAATGTCCCAAAGTGGAACGTAAATTATCACTAGTTAAACAATTGCACTTTATCAAACTTGTGCAGCGTTTATCATTAAGATGAAAGGCTAGGAGTTTTTCGAATGTTGTCATATCTGGTGCGTTCACCACATATCTTGATAATGTAGTCCAGTGAGAACAGATTCTAAATGAATAAAAGTGGTTGGCGGCATCCGGTTTCGGATTTGTCTGTCACTGTGGCCAGCCACAGGACGCCTGTGCCTAAAGAGGGACCATGGGTGGCTTGCGCTGCACCACCCACAGCTCCAACTACACACCTCATATCCGGTGTAAACCCGAAAGAATAAGACCGGGATGCATGTGGATGGGAGCCACGTTTCATCAACGGAACCGGCCCACACTCCTTCATTAGGAAGTGACGAGTGAGTGAGCCAATCTGCAACCCCAGGACAGATACTGTGAACTCATTGGCAATACGTCGCGCACCAAGCAGAAGTCATGTATTAAATTGCTCACCTAATCGTCAGCCCTCGGTAGCTCAGTGGTAGAGCAGCGGACCGGAAATTCATGGGACCGGGGTTCGATTCCCCGTCGAGGCAGATTATTGTGTGGAGTTTAATCGTGACTTCTACTTTCTACGAACCTTACGCTACTCACAAACATCCTTCAAGCACACTGTATTTGGGGAATCAACCGCACACAGGGCGGTGGCTGGACCGTAGTCCGCTCCACACTGAGTGCATGGAACCACTCCTCGAGCTTAGCACGGCCACAAGGACCGTGCACCCCGTCCTCTCCAGCAACGACCAACTGTCTCCAGGAGCCAGTATGGACGAGGTAGTGGGTAATAGACAGGTAGGCACCTTGTTAACATGCACATCAAGCGCAGCCACACCGGGGTTATCAAGCAACAGCCAATCACTTGAAACGACAAGATGAGCTAAAATAAATCCAATAATGCATACAGATACGGTAGCATATTTCGCTAAATTAGCATGTGAAGTAAGTTGGTTAGCAATGAATCCGCAATAAGGAAAAAAATGTCCACAAGTTACTTAAAAACGCTACAAACGCAACATAGTTACCGAAGATAAGCGCAATTAGTGTAAGCAACGTGGTCAGTTAATTGAAGATTATTCTGGTAGGTAGAACAAAGCAAATAAAGTGGAATGATATGTATCCAGCTTAAAAAGACCTAGATTAAGTGTAAGTTGGTTTTGCCCAACTGCGGTGAAAATCGTCAAGAATGCAACATCAGCCTCAGCATAGGGCACCAAATGAATAAAAATACTTTCTACAATTTAAACGGGAGTGGGGCGTCATTGGTTTCAGGTGGTTGCCTCTGCATTGTTTGTAAGGGTCTAGGGTCAACAGTGATGTACATGGATACGCGCTTTCAGTTATTATCCAGTATATGAGAGCGATCTCCGCGAAACCGTCGGTATTCTGAGAACACACCGAGTACACGAAGACGCAGTTCGTAACTTAGACCGGATAGTCCAGGTGTTGCCTTTGTGGCTTTTCTTTAGGATTGTTCTGATAGGCGACTGTCTCGTTTTATCCATGGACACCAGGCCTGAATGGCATATTAAACTTGAGGGCGAATATAGGAGTTAATCAACATTGGTACTAGCCGTCGCTCAAAGGTGCCGAGTGCTCGCCTCAAAAGTCTCAAGTTCAACTTTGCCACACTTGCTGCTTTCGAACACTGGAGCTAATTAATAAGACTCACTTGCACTATTATACCTAAGTCGCGTTCACTAGTTACTTGTTGCAGGACGTGTTGCCCCATAAGGTATGTGTTGACGAAGCTGCTGCGCACCGTCAGCAGGTGGCACTTTGCAGGGTTCAGTGGGAGCTGGTTCTTTTCTACCCTTTCCTTAATCCGAATCAGATCTTCCTGGAGGTAGTCACGGTCTGATGCTGAGCGAACTTTTCACCATATTTTAGCATCGTCTGTAAATATTTGCATCGGAGATAGAATGTCTGCTGGAAACTCATTAATATAGACTAAAAATAGAAGCGGGCCGAGGACGGATCCTTATTGTACACCACTGGAGATGCACAGGCTTGCAGAGTGAATGCCGGCTATTCTTACCTTAATTGCTCTATCGTGTAACTAGTCTTCTAACCAGGTGAGCAGAGAACCGTTGATGCCGTAGGCAGTAAGCTTTTGGAGGAGAAAGAAATGATTGACCCTGTCGAATGCTTTGGAAAAATCCAAGTAAATGACAACTATGGGGACTCCTTCATCAGCCGCCCTGTTCCATGAGTCCCAAGCAGCAAATTGGTGAG